TTGGCAAGATCCTTATAGAAGTCTCTATCATAATTTAGACTTCCTAAGAATCTCTACAATTGTGTCTTGTCCAATATTTCATCTAGAAATTTATCAGCAAACTTAATAGCACTGTCAATAGGCAAAAATATTGGGAAATTTGGTGAAATAGCCAAAATTTTGATCATGAATTGAATTTTAACCAACTATTATAACTTTTTATAATTATAACCAAAATTTGATATGAAAATACTACAATACCCTTTTTTTAATTAAATAATTACACAACTACATCTTCTCCATCTATTATGCAGTCTTTCCGATTCTTTCCTGCAACACGGTCAGTATTGCTCTACTCTCGTATTGATTTTGATGAAATAGCCAAAATTTTGATCATGAATTGAATTTTAACTAACTATTATATTTTTATAATTATAACCAAAATTTGACATGAAAATATTACAATACGCTTTTTTAATTAAATAATTACACAACTAACTACATCTTCTCCATCTATTATGCAGTCTTTTCGATTCTTTCCTGCAACACAGTCAGTATTGCTCTACTCTCGTATTGATTTTGTTTCTTTCAAAAAAAAACTACATAAAACCCTAAAACACCACAGCATCCATCCCATTGTCAATTTAATGTTTTTTTTTTCAATAACGAGCCTATTGGTCGGAATTGGATCGATATATCTCATATGACTTGGATAAAGGAATCGGTTGATAGGATCTTAATTACCAGTCATCACGAAGCTCGTTTGTGAAGGAAGGAAATGCATCACGGTAATGTTTATTTTATAGTGATTTGATGTTTTTGTTGATTCTCCGTTTTCTTTTCACCAGAATTGAATCTACAAATCTCCAATGACTTCAATAGACGAATTTACCGACTGACAGTTGACGAAGATGAAGAAGCTATAGGTTTCTGTAAACTTGAGTGAAGAAGATATACTTTTGTAATTATTTTAGTTAAGAGAGGGGAATACCATTTCTGGGAAATTAATTTATCAATACTGCTGACAAATTTCAAGGTTGAGATGCTTGTGTTTGGATCAGTGAGTTCTAGTACTGGTTCAAGGTTTGGCGACTTCTTCTTCCTTACCATAAAATTGCCCATCAATTCCTGAAACTCGCTTTTACTTTTTATTTTGCTAGCTTTTGCTTTGAACTTCATCTTCTGGAGAGAACTGATAGAGTTCGAGGACTTGAACCCTTTGTTTTAGTTGTCAGAGTTCTCCGTTTGTAGCATTGATTTAATGTTGTAGCTCATTTACAGTTGGTTCCTTTTTTACCGAACTTTCAACTATTCTATCAATTACTATTTTAAAGCTATAAGCTTTTAACTGGTTGTTTTACTATATTTTCTGAAGTTTCACATTTTTCCAAAGGATCTTCTAACTTATCAATTAAGTCTAAAATCAGACTTTCTTCTTTGATAATAACACAAAGATTAAGATTTTTCATATGACATGAACAATCTTCTTCTTCTGAGCTAGAACTACTATTTTCAAATGTAGACTCAAATGATTCTCCATTTTCAAGAGCTGCGACCTCATTTTCACTTTCTTCAGAATCAGAGTTCAACATCAGTTCGCACAACTGTCACTTTAATCCTTCATCAAGATTAAGATTATTAATCTTGTATTTCATCCTACATTGATGTTGCATGTGTCCAACTCTTCCGCACTTGTAACAAACAAGAGGCTTTTCTTGTAATCATTTCCTATTCCCTTCTTGTTTGCGAGAATGATATTTCTTTTTCTGGAAAGACCTATAATGTTTTTCAGGATTTTTAGGACTTTCTTTTGAATACCTTTTGTGAAATTTTTTATTTTTCTTAAAAGGTTTTCTTAAGGAAGATGATTTATGTTAGGCTCAAATCCAAATTGCTCAAAGAAATCACCCATTTCTTTTTCCCTATACTCTTTTGCTTTTCAAGCTGCTTCTTAATTTCATATCATTACAGAGTGCTAAACGTTCAATACAAATTTCAGCCATTAATTCTCCATAAGTTCGTCTATCATATGCTATGACTCATCCACACTTATTTCTAAAGTCAGCTTCGCATCTTCTCTGCAAAAAGAGTAGGTAATCTAGAAAGAAATTTCTCTTTTCAGAAATCTGTATTACAATCAGATCTAATGAAAACTTTAGAATAAAAGACATCTTTATACCATCAGAAGTGAGATAGTGTTGGACATTTTAGATTCATCAAGAGTTCTCTAGATCTATCAAATTGGAGCTCAGCTATTCCATAAAGTGAAGTGTAATTGTATAAATAAGGGTATTAACTGAATCTTCTTGTCTTACAACTTCTCCATTTATTTCTACCTGACTAGTTGCTGAAAAGATTTGTTCTTTTGCTTCATCGCTTAGACGAAAATCCCACCATCCACAAAGTTGTCCAATAAATCCCGCAGCCATAATCTAGGCGATGGTTTCATCAAAATTTCCTTTTATCTTACCAGCTGTTGAGAACATAAACATATGTCTCACGGTAATAAGGATCTAATATTTTGTATGGTCATCGATGTTCCATTCAATCCATCGTATTGAACCCTTTCTTCCATATCATTTTCTTTGAATTGAAGGTCTACTAGGGTTGGTTTGGGATAATAATTCTTTGTGATAGCCGTTCTTTCGACTATCCTGCCAAATTTTATCGTATTTATCTCCGATTTGGGTTTACGCTCTATGAATTGCTCTTCTAATTTTGAAATTTGAGCTACCGAAATTACCGAGATCTTTGGCTCATCTAACTTTATCGAACTTAATCTTTTGGCCAAAGCATCTACAAACCTATTATCAATAAATGGGTGTTTTTCCAACTTATGATTCTTAAGTTCAGGGTTATAGGTTGGTTTAAGCATGGCTTTTCTAAAACTATTCTTTTCCTTTTCATTCTTCTTTTCTTCAAAAGAATTGGGAGATGTTCCTGTAGAAATATAGAGAGATGGGCCATACGGTCCACTTCCAACAACACCAATATTGTCCCCAACTTGGTAATTACCACTTACACAATCCGTCAGGTGTGGGGTTTTATCACAAAAGACATCGGTATTAGTTAGAGTGCGGTTAGGATATTTAAACTATCATTTTTCTTTTTGTATGGCCGATGTGGGATTCAACACACCCCATCATGTGGGATCCAATTAGTGGGTCACACGCGGAAGATCCACACATCGGCAACCACGTGGAGCCAATAGGACTCACCCTACACGTCGCGCCAAGGGACCCACCATCATCGCGCTGGGCCAAGGAGACCCACCCATCACATGGCAGTACAGTACGGGCTCACTCCCTGGCTCTGATACCATGTAGAAATATCAGAGAGACGGGCCATACGGCCCACTTCCAACAACACTGAGCTTGTCCCCAACTTGGTAATTACCACATCCACAATCCGTCAAGTGTGGGGTTTTATCACAAAAGGCCTCGGTATTAGATATTTAAACTATTATTTTTCTTTTTGTATGGCCGTTGTGGGATTCAACAGTTCCTTGTACTCTAGGATTCCAAATTCTAGATTTAAGAGAATCATTACTCTTTAATGAGTTCTCTATCCTCGAGGCTTGTCTTCTTAAGGATTGAAGGAACAAGTTGGTATAATTATATTTTGCTGTATCATAGCATCAACTCCAGTATGCAGAGAAGCATTTTGTCCTCCATCTGGTACTTCTTTACAAGGAGAGGCAATTGTTCCTTTTGGATTTTTTTGAATAGCCTTTTCTGGCTGATGTATAGCTTTTTCTTCTGTTCCTTGTTTTGTTGTATAAATTCTAAATGAGTTGTCTAGAGTACTTATATATTGAGTATATTCAAGAAACCTGTATTTCTTAGCACATCATTCAAATCAAGGAAGGAACCTTTTATTAAATTATTTTTGTATTATAAAGGTCTAGTGAAGTTTTCTCAAGAATACTCTTCTTTCTGACCCTTCTTTTTTCAAAGCACTTTCTTCACTGAGATAATCTTTCTCAATGAATTAGTTATCTAGCTCAAATTTTGTTGTTACACATATGTTAGATTCAACATCATCCCAAGATAATGCTGGTTGGGGCGGATTCCTAGAAGGTGTTGTGGCTCCTGTGTTTTCAACTTTGTACAATGGAAACTGGACTTGTTCGTTGGTCTTGCTAAAGCCTTCTAAAATGATTTGCTCATAGGAATTCGATCCTGAAGTGGATTTTTAACCGAATTTGTCCTAAATGGGATAGGTTGGGTTACGCTTTGAAAATCAACGCTTAACCTAGGACCTAGACTTAGTAGGGTCGGCCTATTGTTTGAGAATTGTATTTCTACATCTCAGTCTTCGTATTGATTAATCTGATACGGTTCTCGATTTTGAATGAGTTTAGGGGGAGTTGCCTCCTGCAACCTCCATCTTTTAGGTAGAGTCATTCTACCTATTTATTTTTTGTACTACCGTATGGGCTTTTCCTAAATTGGCCTGGAACAAAGTGGTCTGTTCCTTGTTGTCCATGACCTTGGCTTTAGGTACGCTACTACGTTTTACTATTTGCGCGTTCGTGCGCAGAATCCGTCCCTCAAAGATAGTGAAGAAAGACTTTGCGTGACGAAAAACATCATTGGTCGCAAAAACACGGCGCGATGGTTTACCTTTTGTCACACACAATTTTTAGGAACGAATGTTTTCTTCGCACAAAATACTAGGATACATACATGGGGCGACTATTATTCGTCTCTCTAAACTTTGTGCGACGACAATTTATTATTGCGCGATGAAACCTAGTTTGTCGCTTGAGTTTTGCGAGACGCAGGTTTTCATCGCGCAAAAATAAAACTATATTTTTTAAAATTTAATTTTACATTCTGTTTTTTTAATTTTGTAATAAAAATAAATTGCATTTTTTTTGTAATAAAATTGAATTGCAATTAAAAAATGTAATGAAGAGAAAACTAATATATTTAAATTAATATAAATGTATGTACTATGTACAAGAAAAATGTTTAAAAAGTAAGGAAGTAAAAAACTAAGAAAATAATGCGGCGTAATCTACGTGGTCATCATGCGGAGGTGGTTGGAAGGTCTCGAGGTTGTCGACAGGCTCAGAGGTCGAAGGGGCAGAGGTGTGGGCATGCTCGGGTTGGAGGGGCTCAGAAGTCGACTGGGGACGAAGATCCAAGAGACGAATGTCGGACTGACTGAAGGCCTGTACAAAGTTGTCACCTGACTCTTTAACTACAACGATGAAGAGGCTCTAGGTTCCCGCCGCCGAGCATTCCCCATTCCCCTACAATATGTCTCCAGCCTCAGCCCGAGAGTTTGATCCAAGGTCTCCATAAGGATCTGAAACCCCGCATCCTCTGGGGATCTACAAACTCGAGTAGAGTCTCGGGAGGAAGCTGGGAGGCGGACTCATGAAGAACCAACTGCCTCTTCTCCATCATTGTCGCCTGTGTAATATAACATCAAATATTAATTATAACATTCATATAATAACCATGAAACTTGAATGTGTAAGATAATAATTAAAATTGAAGAATACTTACATGAAGGGACTCGACCAACTCATCCCTAGGTCGAACGTAAACGTCGTTAAAGACATCAATCTCTGAGAATTTTGAACCCTCTTGAATAGAACAAGAGAAGAAAAATGTTAGTACGAAAAAAAAATAATAGTAATGACATATTAAAAATTGAATATGAAAAACTTTATTATTACCCGCCGTCGCGCCTCTATCCTATATGAGAAGGGCTTCGAACCGAAATGGTGGGGAAAAGTCTTCTTCTCCCTATTGCTCTTGTTGGCTTTCACCTTCTTCCGTTATACAAAAAATAAACATATTAGTTCAAATTTAAATGAAATATAAAAAAATAAATAAACATTAGTAAGAAACGTATAATAATTTTAAACTTAATACAAAAAAATACCACATAGCGGGGCTCATGAAAATAACTGCAGAGCCATGCCCAATTATCCTCCCGACCCTCAAACTTCATCGGGCAACCCTCCTCAAGAGCAACCTGCGGATCATTAAATGTCTCAAAATATTGGTGCAAATCGCTCTTCCACTGCTTGTACCATTCAGAGAAGAGCCTGTTGACGTACACCAACATATCATCGTTGATGTCCTCGAAATTGTAGTTTGTCTACAATGTAACAAATTAATTACATACATTAAGTAACATAAATATATAAAATTTGAAGGAAAAACAATTAAAAGGTAGGATACTCACCGACAACTGTGCGCTAACCTTTGTCCTCACCTCATCTGGCATCACCTTCCAATACTTCCATTGCATAGGGCAATAGATCCGAACGATGTGACCAATGTTGTGGGCCAATGCGCTATGTTGCTCTACCGTTGGTGTAGCCCGATGCCGGTCGTTGTATCTGATAGTGATATGTCTGTTGGTCACCCAGGTGATCTTCGTCGTTTTCAACTGGCGACAAGTTCCCCATGTGTTTTTCTTGGCTACAAAGAAATATAAAATTAATGTTTTCCCAAAACTAATAACAAAACCTACTAAAATTTCGGCATAACCTCCCTATAATTAAAACATATCCCAAAACCCTGAAAATAACATAAACAATATATGTATCCAACTAAATGATCACAACTGTTTAATAATAGGTTCATAACGATGACATCAATAAACAATATATATAATAACTGTTTAATCCTTAAATGACATAACTTAACATACTGAACCTAAAATAACAAAACTAAGTTAACCAAATTCTTATCATATTTCATATTTGGTATTCCTTATAAGTTAACAAAAATATATATGATACTTAGAGCTGATTCACTTGGGCAACAGCTGCCTTATGTAGGCCTCGAAATATAAACACAAACATATCCTTCAACATGCCTAATTCAGTGGCATGTCACTCACACCAACCCCATAAAAGCATCTTGACCTATATGCATTTCATTAAAGGAGGAACACTTACCTATATGCATTTCATTCAAGGAGAAACAAAAACATTCCCAAATAATATCACTGACATATTTAATAAAGTCCCAAAAGCTTACAAATTTGAGGAAGCATAACCACGCCATATCTATCACTTTCATATGCAATCCAACAAAATTTCTCTTCGATAAATTATAGACGAAACTCAGGTAAGTCAATACAAGGTCATTGTTTGTCCTAATAAACCCACATTCTCTACCTGCCTTATATAATAAACATGTATATATACACACATATTAACAAACAACATCAACATCAATCCAAATCAAAAAACAAATCCACCAAACTTGCTCATCCAACATAAAATCAACTAATTAATCCATACAGTACCAACAGATTCCAGTAAATTGTGCCTTCATATCAAAGTACCCAAAAATCAACTAATTAATCCGTAAATTCACAACGCACAGTTCATAATTTAACTAATTAATCCCATAATTCTTCACCCATGTAACAAAATTATGTGGATTGGGTGGGATTGATAGGACCACCAAATCCCCTAAAATATGAAAAATTGTAATCCCTAATCCCCAAATTGTAAACCCTAATCCCCAAATTGTAAACCCTAAAATCTGAAAAATTGTAAACACTAATCCCCAAATTGTAAACTCTAATCCACAAATTGTAAACCCTAAAATCTGAAAAATTGGAAACCCTAATTCTCTAACCTAATAGTCTATAAATTGGAACCCCTAATTCCCCAAACGAAAATTGAAATAAATTAATAAAATTGGAAATATTTACCATGTTAGCAACTAGAGGGGGAGAAGGGGAGAGGGTGAGAGGCCGAGAGGTAGGGTGAGGGTGAGAGGTCGAGAAGTGGGGTGAGGGTGAGAGGCAGAAAGGTAGGGTGAAGGTGTGTCGGAGGAGGAAGAGAGACTGCGAGGGGGCGAGAGGGGGAGAGGGTGACATAGAGGGAGGGTGTGTCGGAGGGAGTTTACCAAAGACGAAGAGGTGAGGGGAAAAGTGTGTGCAATTTCAGTTTAATCCTGACTTTCTTGCGCGACAAATATAAGATATTCATCGAGCAAAAGATTCAAATTTTAACGAAATAATTTTCATGCACGCCAAAAAGTCAAAATTTTCAACTCCTTTAGCGACAAAACAAAAACTAATCGTCGCGCAAATAATAGTTGTGCGATGAAGGGTTCTTGGTCGTCGCTCTAGGAGCTAAAAATTTATGTTTGAACTTATATTTTCAAAAAAAACATAAACAATTTTTTTATAACATAAGATAAATAAATTACAAAAGAAATCATTTAATATGTTTTACATAGCAAGTAAAAAATAATTGCATTATTCATCATCCGAACTGTAATAACTTTTGCTATCTTCATGATAGGATTTTTACTACTCATGTGAACGGGCTTAAATCTCCTATTTTACTTGCAAGAATCACAAGGTTATTGTAGTATAAACGGACCTCGCAAGGTCGTCTCCACAGGGACTATTAAATAATTCGAAACTAATCAGATTCCATTTAATTATTGTAAAGTAGAAATTGAAGTGATTGATTTTATAACCTAATTAAAATAAAAACGAAATTAATGAATTAAAATAAACAATCTGCAATATTAGAGCTAGAGAGAAAATAAAACAGTTTTGGGAGAATAAAATTAAGAAAGCACTAAGGTTCCACCATCACCTAGCAATCCTATGAATTTTTACCCATTACTTATGATCTATACATGCCACTTTGAAGGTTAGATTTTCCTAATTCATATTCTACTTGGAACCTCCAACATAGAACGTATATCTAACATGCAACCCGTCCGGACGTTCGGATCAAATCTGAACATGAAAGACTCATTATGCTTTATGAAAATCCTTTGAAAAACCATGCAATCCTTAAGACGTGATATTCATCCTAAGTGAAATTACAATTATTAATCACAAGAAGCCAGCGTCAATTTCAAGGAACCTTCCGACCAAAATTGCATCAAATTACTTTTCTAAAGATCCTAATGGTGATCAGGCATTAAGACAATTAGATAGTTTTTATCCCGGTGATTAACAATTCAAAGTATGCATGCAATCAATCATAAGAAATTAAATAAAAATCACATATTCATGCTAAGGCTCAAGGTTTCGCCCTAGCAAAAGAAATTAGTTCCGCATACTCATAATTGAAATCATAGAAAATATATTCAAGAAAAGGATTGAAAGCACCTTCAAGTAAAAAGTCTCCAAAACCCTAACAATTCTCTCTGTCTCCAAAATTGCATAAAAGAAAGCGTAAAGAAATATGGTAGACGGCCAAGCAATATATCTGCTCAGCCTCCACACAAACCCTAGGAAACTAAAATTAATTCCCATAAAATAGGAAACATAACCCTAAATTAAATGGTAAAATTCGCCTAAAATCTGAACAGCCACGTTTTGGACCCATAAGCTGCTCCAAAACTGGCCCAATATAGCTGGATTTAATGTTTGGAATATTCTGAACACTTTTCCAAAAGGTCACGAACCCATCCGAGGTCATCTTGGGCTCCAAAACGCAATTTAAGCCCAAAAACGTCATTTTCCAGCACTGCGCACTGCTTCTTTATTTCATTGCCAGAAAATAACCGCTTGGTGGAAAAATCCCAAATTTTGATACGATCAAGCTAAGTGACTCACAAACGTACTCCAACTGGAATTACTCCAAAATCGTCCATTTGGTCCTGTTTTTCTCCAGAGGAAGTCGAAAGTCCTATATTGATAATACAATTCAAAGTATCAAAATTCTTTCAAAATATTTACCAAAATATACTAAGATTAGGGTAAAATATATAATATAAAATCTACTCATCACTTCACTATCATGACTTTTGGTGTCCTAATCCTCCTCCTCGATAGGTACGTCATCATTGTCGTTCGGGGCCCACTGCACCATCGTATCACGGAAGATCACCAAGGTCAATTGTAATTGACTGAATCGGTATTTCGATTAAAGACATTCCTTGTATCTGAAACGGTTATTGGATAAGATTTGTATCTCAAAGTGTTTCCGCATCATTTTCCATTGAAGATTCTAAACGTTGGTCAGCGACGTTGTCGACGTCATCATCAGTTGGGTCTTGTTCTGGTATAGTATACACGTTCCTCTGATCCATCTTCTGAACCACTTTCCAGCCTCTCTCGGCTTTAGGGTCATCTAGATACACGATCTGTTTTACCATGTTTGCTAAAATGTAAGGGTCGTCATCGTACCAAGTTCTGTTAATGTTCACAGATAGTTAGCCATGGTCGAGTTTAACACTTCCTTGCCTATTTGGATTTGTATCAAACTATCGACACTTAAACATGATCACTTGGTATTGGTCTTTGTAAAGCAATTGCATGACATTTGTTAGTTTGCCATAGAAATCAATGTTCGAACTTTCACCTCCACTTGGGACATGGACACCACTATTTTGCATGTACAACTTGTCATCTTGTGCAGTCCCCAAAAACTTGACGTCGTTAACATGGCAACCCGAGAACAATTCAGCGTGAATCGGGTTAAAAGCCAACTTATATAACTCTTCATTGTAAGTGGGGGAATTCGATGCTTTCAATTTATTCACCTAATATTATACAAAAACATACACATGTTAGTTTCAGAAAATTAAATGCTACAATATATATCACAAATAAAAAACACTTATAACTTACATATTTAAGAAACCATTGTGGAAACAATTCTCGGTGTTTATTGGCATACAAATGTGATGGATGTTCTCGCTTCATCATCTCTTTATGCTCATCTAAGTATGCCATTATCCCATCACAATTGTTCAGTATGAACCAATGCGCTACCTTCATGTCATTTTTTGAAAACGACTCGCCTTGTACAGAATCTCCAAAGGGTCGT